TTACAGTTTTCTTTTCGATGTTGAACCTAAAGTCTTTCCACTTGAACCTGAAAAGGAGGGGATGGCAAAGAGTCCATTCACCACTGTTATAGCCCCATGAGCTAATCAGAGACATTACGTGTTCCTGCTAAGTCCAGGGGGCAGTCTTACAAAGTCCTGAACTTAGTACAAAGCTCTCCACCTTGGCATTCATTACTCAGTCCATTAGTGTTGGCCTACTGGATGCCATGCAAGATGAAAGCCACTTTCCATCATAAACTGTAACCAATGATGCACATTTATGTAAGACCCTGAGCAGAAATTTTGCTAGCTCCTATCTGTTCACAAGCTGGTATAAGTCTCAGAGAAAGACACAACTTCAAAATCAATCAACTATAGATTGCAACGGTGATGCTGTGAATATAAATGCTTATGGAAAGGCAAATGAAGATAAGACCAGTTACTTCCAAGTACTCAACACGTCAGTTTCCTGTCCCTGTGGGCAGAAGATAAATATTCATTGAATAAAGCCAAGAATGGTGATCAGTTGAAAGGGGTAGAGTCAAGGTTTCACATTTCTAGATGTGTTTTGCTTCATACTGACAGGTCCCAAACAGTCAAGGAGACCCAAGGTCATCTATATGTTCTTTAAAAAAAAAAAAAAGCGACACATCTTCAGCAAAACACAGATCAGTCCTAAGCCTGCACTGGGTTGGGAAAGCTTCCTATCTTCAAGATCATTTATTTCCTAAAATCTCAGATTCATTTCCACCTGAGAGAGTCAACCGGAGTCTAACCTGATAGAGGATGGAAACATAACAATCCTTATGAGGGGGATATATTAATGTCCTAGAGCTATGATAATAAAGTACTATAAACTAGGTGGCTTAAAGCAAATAAATCTATTCTCTTATAGTTCTGCAGGCTACAAGTTCAAAATCAAAGTGTCAGCAAGGCTAGTAGCTTCTGAGAGCCTTGAGATACAAACTGTCCACTGCCTTTCTCCCAGCTTCTAGTGACATGCAGGGATTAATGGCCTGCAATCCCTGGCATTCCTTAAATTGTAGATACAGCTCTCCAATCCTCACCTCCATCCTCACATTGGTGCTCTCTGTCTGTCCTCACATGACCATCTCCTTGTAAAGACACCAGGTATTTTGGATGAGTGGCTCACCCTACTCCAGGAGGACCTCATCTTAACGAATTATAACAGCAATAGCCCTATTTCCAAATAGGGTCACATTCTGAGGTACTACAGGTTAGAGCTATCACATATATTGTTGTGGGGGAGGAAGGATACATTGCAACCCATAACAGGAATGAGAAACTATCTGGCCCTGTCAAATCACGAAATGTTGCCAAAGCATGTATGGTAACATCTTGGATAGGTTTGATGTGTAGTGGCAGGTCCAAGGGGCCTTTGAAACTAAGACATCCAATAATGTATCCCCAATGGATAGAAGTGTTTCTGTTTCATGATTTTTCCATCTCAGCTCTGATTAGAATGTCAACTGTCACCTAGAAGAGAAAGGTTTCATATCCCATCACCAAATTTCAGATTCATCTTATTTTTAGTGTCTCAAATTTGAAGATGCCAGGAACACATCTTTCAGTATCTGATCAATAATACAAGTTTTCTGTATTTGTTCAGGTGGCTTCCCTCCCCGGAGCTTTCTACCTACCAGATTTTCAACATGACTTCAATACATGTACAAACAGAAAAACTACCCCACAGAGGCTAAAGTAATAGGAAGATAATTTGTTAAAAAGGTTGTGTCTTTAGGATAAGTGGATACACAAATAGTTGATTTCAAAGAACTAGATGGATAACCCCATTTGGATTGCACCAATAGTGAGGACAACCAAAGCAATGATACTTCATAGCATATATTTGCTAGTTGTTTATAACTTTTCACTGGGCAGATGCTGGAATGATTTTTTTTTTTTGTATTATGTAGCAACACTAGACAGACAGCTAATATGTTTTTCCAGTTCAGTTATTCATATCTCAGCACTGCAATAGAAAGAAGTCATCTCGTTCCCTTTACTGCAGAAAAAAGAGTTTGTACTTCTCCATACCATTGACTTGGAACAGCCTGTGGCTAATGCAAAACCATATTGGGAGAGGATTTTTTACTCTCTGCTTTCTGACCTCCCCAAAGACATCACTGTCAAGTGTGAGCATTAAAAACTCTATTGAGGGCTTTTATAAAGACAATGGGGGTAAAGAGAGAGCTGTATGTTTCCAACACTTGGACCAGATTTAACTGTATCCCTGGGGAACAGGTCAGCAAGACTATACCATAGGTTCCATGGGGCATCCACAATCTTCCCCAGGGAGGAAATGCATTCCCTTCAGAGCCGCAGGGATCTGTATACTGCACTAAGGAGGTCTAATCCATTTTGGCTGGTTGCACTGAGATACTCTCTGTTCCCAATTAAATCAATTATCTGGGTAATCTTCATAATTAACGGCAGAAGATTTGAGCTGTCAGGACTGGCTGTAGCAAAAATATTTGGGCATGTGGGTTAAGCCACAGTTGTTCTGTGGGTGTCTGAGGCCGGGGCAGGAAAGTGGGCTGAGCGCATGCTGGGGCCAGCTTTCTCAATTATTGTTGGGCTCTAACTAAACAGCAGAAAGGGCTTTTGCCTAGAAGTCAGGAGATAGTGTTCTCACTCCATCTCTGACACTAGCAAGCTGTGTCACATTAAGCAAGCTTCTTCATGTCAGAACGACTTATCTTTACATCTGCAAAATGAAGGAATGAAGCCAGATGGTTTTAGTTAGCCTTTACAAAGCAGATGCTGAATATCAGGCACTGTAGTAAACCTTATTTCATTTAATCCTTATAACTAAACTTTTATGAGAAACAAGGCACAGAGAGGATAAGTAACTTGCCTGACATCACACAGCTAGGGATTTTCAAAGACCAGATGATCTTTAAGCTCCCTTCTCACTAAAATTTTAATCTCTATTGCTGTGGAAGCCAAGTGGAAGCCCCTGTGTCCCAGATAAGGCTTAGGCTAACTTATATTCTTGCTACTTAAAGTCCATGGACCAATAACATAGCCATCACCTGCAATCTTTTTGGAAATTTGGAATCTCAGATCTCACTCCAAATTTATGAATCAGAACCTTCATTTTTAACCAGATAACAAGGTAATTCATGTGCCTAGTAAAGCTTGAGGGGCACTGATCTAAGACTGACCAAAGGCCCAATTGGAACCACTGCAAGGGATTTCTGTTTTCTGCCCCCACTGGTAAACATTGAAGGCCCTATACTGAGGTGCCGGGGAAGGGTTGCGGTGACTTCCGTCCTGCAGTTCTAAACCATTGGCCCAGTGCAAGGATCTGTGTTTCTTCTTTGCTTTCTTACCCAAGTCATATGCTCCTGACTGTCGGCTCTACTTCCAAAAGGAAGCTTCCAGTAGCTAGAACAGATCTTTGTATCTCTATGAGCTGACCACAGGGCAGAGGCTATTGTGAACAGATTAATGCATGTTCAGGATAAAATTCTCCAATGTCCTTTTGCAGGCAGGAGAAATTGCTGTTCTCACTTTCCCACTGACTTCCCTCTTTTATTTAACAATGACTCTACACAAAGGCTTTCTATAGAAAGATAATTGGATTTCTAACTCTATTTGTTCAAAACTCACTTAACATTATAATGGCCCTAGTTATATTGTTTGTATCAACTCATCAGTAGTAAAGTACCAATTTCTGAATAAATATGTAGATTTTTGTACATACATCTAGCATTACCAAAGCAGGAAAGGAAAAATAAGCCAGAAATAGAAATCCATTAATAAAAACAGATACTAACTAGATACTTCGCTGCACTAGGCTTAAATGTGCTGGGTAAGTTTAGATTTTCAACATCTGAGTGCTATTTTTGTCTTATGTGTGTATTTGCTTAGTGTTTAATCACTGTGGAACTTTTGGCCAACAGGTCATTGAAGAAGAATATAGCCTGCTGTATTCACCACCGAAGTACCAATTTAACACAATCTTAAATGAATTAAACATATACTTTAACAATGATTATCCTTCCCTTGCCATGGGGGTTGCAACAGAACCTGGCTTCCTGAATACCCTAGAGGTTTCCCTTTGACATCTTTAAGGCAAAAGTAGAGAGGGGAGAGAGAGAGAGAGAGAAAGAGAGAGAGAGAGAATTTCTAGGGATTTTTATGTTTTCATTATGTATGTTTGATAGAGATTTCTTTTCCACCTTTCAAACGTATGAAACAAGGCCTTTTTTTCCATGTTTTTTCTTCTCTGTTCTTTCTCTGGACAAGGAAGAGGCTACCACTGAATAAATGAAACAAAGAGCAGAATGCATTATTTTCTAAGCAAAAAACCAATGAACACGGACTCTGAAGAGAGCAGATGCTTGCTCTTATATGGGGCTTGGAGAAGCTAGGCATTCAGAGATTGGTGGCCTCTCAGAAGCAGGAGTGGTCAGGGATTGGCCATGGAAAGCAGTTACTAAAACTGGCTGCTGCTATTGGCTGGCTTTCAGAAGCTTGATTACCATTTCAGAGTTGTCATTAATTGATTGGGAAGAGTTTACAACTGAATCTGGTGGTTAATTGTTCCTACAATCAAAGAGTAGTCAATCTTTCTTGAATTTGGAGTATGGACAATTTTTATGTTCACCTCCTGCCCCCACTTGGTACTTCAGGCAGCCTGTGTACTCACTGTGGTATGAAACATTAAGGAATATAATCTGAGTACATTGAATCTCAAAGTGCCATACCTTGGCACTCTCCCATAGGGTAAATAGGAAACACATGGCCCGTGTGTGGGCCAATTCCCCTTCCAGGCTTGCTCAAAACTCGTGCCACTCTTTGCCACGGAGCCCAGATTAAGGCTTTGGCTTCATTCTAGCAGCTTCTACTCATTAAGTGGGATTGCCAGCTGATGAAAGAAGATTGCCATCTTCTGTGGAAGAAGCCTGTTTGCCATCCCTGCTCTTGAACAACTTTGTAAAATTTAAGTATCCCGTGTCCCATTCTTTTACCTTCTCCTTTATAAACCAGCTGAGGAGAGTTCCAGGCAACTTCCCTCTGAGATGTAATGTGTTACACAATGCGTGGTTGTCCTATACCTGTTAAAGACAAAGATCCTGAGCTTCGCTCTGGAATACATCTATTCCTGGAAAAGGGCACTGTGGTGTGTCAATTAAGAGCACCAAGATAGATAAACACGTGAATTCTAATTCTAGCTGAAATGTCATTTACCAGCTGTGGGACGTTGGGCAACTTACTTAACCTCTCTGAGCCTTAGTTTTCCCTTTTGTAAAATAGGGATAAAGCACAGTATTCATATCATAAGATTATTGTAAAGATTAGATGAGAGGAACGTAAGACACTTAGGGTGGTACCTGGTAGGTAGTAAGTACTCAAAATGTTGGGTATGACACAATTTGCTATTTTTGTCTGTAAAGAAATCCCTGGGAGTCTAAAGGTCTGGGTTCAGATATGCCTAATATTATTAATCATGTAGCCAACAGTCAATAAGAATACTTGCATTGTTTGCATGAGCGAAACTAATGTTTACTAACTTCATGGTGCTGTTCAAATCACCCTTTTGGGGCCTCAATTTTCTTCCTTGTAAAATGGTGCAGACAGCTACTCAGTCTAACATAGCGTCACTGTGAATATTAAATCAAATAATATACATGAAATGGCAAGGAACCATGGGAGAGACTCATTTCTTGAAGATAACTGAGATTAAAAAAAAAATTAAAGGAGAAATCACTTAAGAGAAGAACGAAAATTTTACCATAAATGGTATTTTTAGGTGTTGGTTGAATTCTATTGTTAAAAATGAAACATTACAAATAAGTTTATCTTCTATTTTCCAGAATCTTATAGCTGTAATTATTTGCTAATTCTTGGAATCATAAAATGAATCAAGTGTCAATTTTTTTTGGCTTAACTTGACTGACAAAACGCTAAGGTCTCCTTTTCTTCACATTTGATTTTTGCTACACACTTACTGAAAGGGTCAGTTTTTGCCAAAATATTAACGGACTTGGCTCATTCTCCCAAGGGTCTCTTTTAATTCTCTGATATTTAAATCAGTCTCTTTTGAAGCTCAAATTGTCCCTCATCCAAGTCAGATGAAAGCCCGCATCTTTTGCAGGATATGCAATTTCACTTTGTTGCAATCAATTTGCATTTGATTTGCATTGTATTATTGACCACACGGGAGGGTCGAACAAAGATCTTGATACCATATGTGAGAATAGACACCAGCATGATGGAAAGTTATGATTAAATGGGAACTAATTGTAAAAATGGTCAGTTCATTAATGAATCTTTTTCTGTCCTGGAAACTTTTGCTTCCTCACCAAATCTTGACACTGCAAAGATGTAGTTAATGAGTCTCCCTGTTCCCATTAAAACTGTATAGGATCCATGTCCCAAGAATTTGATTTGGGATCAAATTCTTAAGAATCAGATTGTATTTCAAGTGCCCTCACATAAGAGATACTATTTTAAGGCATCCTTTGATGTTTCTCAAGTAAAAGGAAACACCTACCCAATCCCTGACTAAATCTTACTTTTCACAAACCTGAATTTCCAGGAATCACATTTTCTTAGAGCAAAGTTCATCCCTATTGCTTTAGGGAGTTGGGGGTCGAGTGATGTTGCCTCACCTTTTTTCTCTGCAGGCAATGGGCCAGGTCCAAGAACAATTTGAAGCAGGCGCAGGAAGGCCAGGTGTAGAAATGAGTCCCCCACCTGGCAGGAAGGAGGGAACTCCCCTTCCCTGCTGCCTAATAGAGGCCTGTAGAGCAAGAGCTCCTCACGGTCCCTTGCAAGCAAGACGAATGGATGATTAGAGACATGAGCAGGCTAGGGAAGCATGGCCCTACCTTTCCTTAGTGCCTCCCTGTCCTATCACTTCCCTGGCATGTCTGGAAGGGGAAGCGTGTGATATTTGTGGCACTCACAAAAGCCACCCTTCCCCCATCTTGAACCAAACTCCACTCTTCTGTCCTGGGGGCTAAGGAGTGAATATGGCTGAGATCAAACAGGATTTCATGGTGCTTTTGTTAGAGTTCCTAAACAGGCAGCTGTGGGCAAAGATTTAAACAAACAACAAGACTTTTAAAGGGATTCTTGAAACGATCTTGTCACGTCATGGGTGACTGTGTCGTTCCCAGGCTGCAGTCTGACCTTAGTATGACAAGACGCTTGCACTCTGAAGGACTGGGGAGACCCCTTTGAATGTGCTTCATTCTTTTCTTCCTCTCAAGGGTGGGTAGGGGAAGGAGACAGAGAGAGAAGAGAGAGGGGGGTGAGGGGCAGAGGCTCTGGAGAGAATGGCATGCTGCCAGGAGAAGAAGGGAGACACAACATGGCTTGTTGGGAGGAAATGAGCCAGTTGCACCCCCCAGCCCCACCCCTGCTAAGTCCTCTTACAACAAAGTGGCCACTGCCAAGATTTCTCCTGCCAGGCCTAGGTCTGTGGAGCTCCCACACACCATCTACAAAGACCCAAGACAAACGTGGACAGCCTCAAAGCCTCACTTCACTACATCTTAAGGCAGTCCTAAATGCTTGTAGCTTCTCATTTAGGACAGCGAAGAGAAATCCCCTTGGGAAAACTCGCTTTGAAGTCCTAAGCTCTAATGTTTAAAATCTGTTAGCAAACCACACATTTCTCCACTCTCGCTGGGGCAGCTGGTTTCTTTCCAAATAAATCACAGGGCTGCTGAGCATTCTAATGCAGGATCTTTGGGGTCTCCTTTCAACACTGCTCAAAAGGCCCAGCTGCAGGGCAGTTGGCCTGAGACCACCTCCTATGGGCTACAGTCCTATTTATAAAATCCTTTGGGACAGGTGTCTGGAAGGTGGATTTAGGAACATTGTGTGACTGTGCAATGCAAGAGGGTGTCAGGTGGTGGCCAAGATCCTGGGACATCAGAAGTCAGGCCTGGAAGATAGGCAGAGAGAAAATGGAGTCTCCATGAAGATATCAGCTGCCTCCTACCTTTGGTGGTCGGCACCTTAACCATGCAGGGGCTCATAGAACTTTCACAGGAAGAGAGAAGAAATGCCTAACCTCAGCAGAGAATGAGCAAACCTTGACTATGAAGGTCACATTGCTCTGTATCTGAAAAATGATGACTCAACAGGAAAGGACAGTTAGGGAGGAGATAAGAAGTGCCATTCAAAGGTCTATTATGTGCCTGTGTAGGAGGACAGAGAGCACAAAATCATGACCTTGCCATATAGATGTTTATAGTGTAGTTGGGGAGAGAGATGAAGACAGATGAAGTCAGAAGGAGCAATTCTCTGGGGGTGATAAGCCATACCAACTGAAAGGATGGCCTCTGGAGTCCAATTTCTCAGCACGAACCCTGCCCACATCAACTTGCCAGCTGTATAACCTTAGGCAAGTTTTCAAATTGCAGAGGAGACTCTGTTTCGTCATCTTCAGGCATACATATTTAGTGCTCACCTCACAGGGATGGTGTGCATCAAATGAGCTATCCCTGTGAAACACTTTCCCCATAAAAGGTGCTCAATAAATATTAGCCATTGATATTACCATTATTCAAAGATGGAATATAACTAAGCCCTAAAGTAGCACGATATGGCATAATGTAACCGACAGTTCAGAGAAACAGAAAATAAGTTGCTTTGAACCACTTCAGTGGCTTGGGAAAAAAAATGGGCTGGATTTGAATGATCAGTGGAGAGGAGCACAAATCTGTTCAGGACATGCAAAAAACATGAGAGAAGGCACAGACAGTGGTGTTCCTATTCATGGGCCAGACTAAACTGGAGGCATGGTGAGCAAAGAAAGCATTTGGCTTAGTTGACAAGGGCAGAGACAACAACAACCTGACTGGGGCAAAACCAACCAACCAGAGAGGAGGGAGAAGCCTGACATCTCTGAACAGCAGTGGATGTGGTGAAGGTGGAGTTTCAGGATGACTAACGGGGCAAAAGTTGGAGGATAGCAGAGAGCAGAGGGCCTGGAGTCAGGCTGGCCAGCCAGGGTGATGGGGCAGTGATCTGGGGGTGTGACGCTGGGGATCTGGGGCTGGGTGGAGGGATGGATTAGAAAGACCTTTACAGGAAACAGGAAGTGAGACTTGATGCTCATCTACTCAGCATACACATTGTGAATTATGAAAGCCTTAACTGAAGGCTCTTGTTCATGCACGTATTTTGGTTTTAAGGAACAGAAATGCACTCAAGTTAAATTGAGTAATTAAAAATTTGTACACAAGCATAGGGGCTCAGGAAAAGCTAAAGAAACAAAAAGAGGCCTCAGGGAGATGGTAACTGGAAAGTTTTCTCTAACATAAATGGCTCTAGTAAAATGTCCATGTGTTTCATTTTAGTGCCCTACCAATAACAGACTTAATTTTTCTCCAAGCTTCTGTATCTCCATCTCTCACTTCTCCCCATGTCCCTCACCCTTAAAATTATATTTTGTAGTCTCTATAGTGTAGTGGGGATACTATTTGCAAAAACACTAAACTGATATGTTTTATTTCCCCTCTTAAATCATGTTCATTGTAGCTCTCCACCTCTGAGGCTCAGCCATGAAATCTTTTGTCCTGTGAGAAAATAGTCGTTCTGAAACCGGGGCTTGGGTGAGGAAGATTTTCTAAACGCCTTCAGAATTTCAGGAGTTAACCTGTTTGGGTCAGATCATAGAACTCCTTGCAGGGCATGGAGATACCTTTTCCATCTAACCTAGCCATGTCCCAAGGCTTGACTAGAAATGGTGGAAGGATGATCCGATGCAGGTGAAATGATGGAAAACCCCACTCTTTCTGGCCTGAAGGACCTTGGGAGAAAGGAGAGAGGTAGAGGTGGAGGAAAGGAGATACCAGACACTTACTTTGTTCTCCTCTTATCTCAGCCTCAAGGCCAAACTTGAAGGACAGTGGGTAGCTTTAGGAACATCTAGGTAACTTGGAGTCTTCAATGCCATGAGAGTTCTGTTGTACCCCTACCTGGGACTCCAGAAGGCAACCACTTTCCACGTCACCTCTGGGACAGCTTCCTCAAAGTAATCCTGGTGGTGTCGTGTGGTGGAAGAGACAGGCTTATCTGATGCTTTAGTGTTTCTTGTTTGGTTTTGGTGCTCCAGTGGTGTGGATTCAACACAGAGGAAACTGAGAGTTTGGGGAGCTCTATTTCTGAGCAAGAGTGTTTGATGTTGTGGCAGATGAATGGGAGTCACAGGACTTTCAAATCAGCAGGAACAGAGTGAGGCCACATGAGATGGAGGGCCACCAGCCACAGTCCAAGATGCAAGAGATCAGATCACAGGTAATACCACCTACCAATGGCAGTGGTGCATGCCAGCAGTTCCAGCTGTGACTGAATATTCAGGATCATGGCTGTGGGGAGGAAAAGAGACACAGGATATCATATGGCTTTTAGGGCTCTTTCCTTCAAAGCCCTGAAGTCACTTAATCCCTATTTGCCCCATAGACCCACATGCCATATTGAAATAGAGAGGGGAAAGAAATAAAATTCTAAAATACTGGGTAATACCTAAAGATATGTCAAAATTATTACTTCAAGCCAAGAAATGGTCTAAGATGTTTTGTTTTATTTTGCTCTGTTCCTTTTGTTGCCCAGTCAACGGGGCTCATGAAGAAGATTAAAGGAGTTACAAATCAAATGAGGAAGCTACACTTTCTCTACACTGTGGAATTATAGTTTAAATAAATTTATAACCCTACCACGAGGCTGTCTGCTTGCTCATAGTTTCCACTTGAATATGGTCCATCGTGACTTTCCGGCCAACTTCCCAATTGCTCTCTAAATCATTATCTACAATTTCATTTCTCACTAAGTGTCTAATTTGCCCACTATTTGTTAGCTTAAGGACTCGCCAGTCTTCTTTGACCAGATCGTCTTTTTGAGCCAGGTTGTGCATTGAGATTTGACCTCTGAGTCAGGCAATAGGAGACAGAACCGTATGAAGGGGAAGTTCTAGGAAAACATCTGAGGTAGATAAAGTAATAGCATAGTCAATTCTTTAGTATTTCACCTATGCTTCAAGTCATGACCAAAGGAAAACTTGGAAAACTGCCCTATAAAGGCATAAAAATGTTCTATCTCAACAAAATGTTCCTACCTCTGTATCTCACCAGTAGACTTTCATAATTGTGATTGAGTTTCTCCCCTACCAGAAATAAGCTTAGGGTGTCCTGTGAATTTCACCTCCTTCTCCCATATGGGGAACCAGGGATCAGTCAATTCTTTTTTGCAGAATTTTATTTATATAGTCCAGTTACTCAGCTATTACAGTTAATAACATTTTGCCATTGTATAAGTAGAATATGATTTTTCAAGGAATTCAAATGTATTGAAACAGATAAATTAAGTCATTTATCCCATGCTCAAACACACTATTCTTATTTGAAGATTCTGAAGATAATTTAGTATTTTGCAGTCTCTCTGGGTTGTAATTATGAAAATCAGTTATCATTGTTCTTTATATGTGCATCTGAGTTTGGGTTAACAGTCCAAGTCAATTTATAATTCTGTCTCATGTTGCATTTATTCCAAATTTCCTTCCATCCAAAAGCAACTTTGCACTGCCCTGTGGTGTATTTCCTCTCTCATGAACACCTTTGTCAGAAACTCCACATGTTCACACAGCAGGGATGTTAAGTCTCATCTAAGGAGAAGCAATCATGAAGCCCACTCCAGGTGATCCACACTTCGGCATGAGCCCGGGGCTGATGAGCTAACAGGAAAGCTACACCTGAGGGGTGTTTGGATACATAGGTGGTGGCTGGTTTACTCATTTGCCTAATATCAGCATAAGTTTAAACCTGCCCTTTTCTCAGATTCGTATGTCTGTAGCAAGAGCAACTTGACATAGATAGTGTGGATAGGAGGATTTCGTGGCTGACATCGCTTGTAAACCTGGGTATTACTGCCTACCCAAAGGCGTGAGACCAATACAAATGGGAAGACACAGAAAGTCTGTTTCATGTTTTCTAATTCAGTGCCACTCCTTAGTGTCATATGTGAAAATAACATCACTTCAACATCAGCTGTAACTGTTGAAAATGAGGAAAGAGGGGCGCCTGGGTGGCGCAGTCGGTTAAGCGTCCGACTTCAGCCAGGTCACGATCTCGCGGTCCGTGAGTTCGAGCCCCGCATCAGGCTCTGGGCTGATGGCTCAGAGCCTGGAGCCTGTTTCCGATTCTGTGTCTCCATCTCTCTCTGCCCCTCCCCCGTTCATGCTCTGTCTCTCTCTGTCCCAAAAATAAATAAAAAAACGTTGAAAAAAAAAATTAAAAAAAAAAAAAGAAAGAAAATGAGGAAAGATAGAGCCAAATTATAAATGAATGTACCTCCAATTATACCTGCAGGTAGGGAACAGCTTATCACCCTTATCCCATGCCCCGGTGGCTTATCCATTAATGTATTTTTATTGAACAAGCATTCAGTAAACATTTACCAGATTCCAGGCTTTTTGTAAATTGCCGAGGCCCAAATCTCCTCAGCCAGCTTTCCTCCAACCTCAGCCCTGGCATATTAGGGTATTTGCTCGTTTTGTGGGATTTTCACTCCTGGATCAGCTCAAAATCTGAAGAGAAGAGGTATGGGGGGTGAACAGTCCTGAGCAGCATTTGGTCAAGGGTAGGTGAAAGGGTGAGGGCCTGTGAGAATCCATAGCCAGCTGTTCAACCAGAGATGGGGGGGCTTCTGCCTCCTGCCAAGCACCTAATTGAGAAGGGACACTAAGTATTACAGGGCACTAAATAAGAAAGAACACAGGTTTTTGCAAGAACTGTTCTCAGAGATTGTACTCATTTGGCAGGAATGCTTGGACAAGTGGGGTGGGCAGTGTCAGGGGCAGGGGCAGTGTGGGACCACCCACTGGGTAGGCTTTGGAGACAGAGAATGTTAAAAGAGTGTTTTTGTGCCTCTAGTTGTCCACATGGGTGAGGTCCTGACCAGAGCTGAGCTGCTCAGGAATGTAACTGAGGCACTGAGGACACCCCCACATGTCTTCCCTCTCTGTTTACCTGATATAGCATGTAGTCTGTACTCTAAGTCAAGAAAGTACTTAAAGAATATTGGTTTAGGGGCGCCTGGGTGGCTCAGTCAGGTAAGTGTCTGACTTAGGCTCAGGTCATGATCTCATGGTTTGTGAGTTTGAGCCCCACATCAGGCTCTCTGCTGTCAGCACAGAGTCTGCTTCAGATCTGTCTCCCTCTAGCTCTCTGCCCCTCTCCCACTTGCACACTCTTTCTCCCAAAAACAAATAGATATTTAAAAAAGAATATTGGTTTAAAGGGGTGCCAATTATTAGCTATCCAAATTCCTGATTCCATGTTTAACCATATTCTTCTAGTCTCTCCAGGACCTGAACCACTTGAGTGGCTTGAAAAGGACATCGGAAAGCTGCATGAGGACCTGAGGGGTGTTGGGAAATAGAGGTGAGCCCCCACCCAATTTCAACCCCTGCCCATCTCCCAGCTAAGCAGAGCAGACTCTTTACAGACATGATGTGTGTGAATGTGACCTCTGCCATCCGTTTTCCACTGAAGCCCCTCCCCTCCTTCAGGTGTCAGTGCTGGTGGAGTGAGCCCTGACAATTTAGGTCTCCCCGGTGTGGCTCCAGACATTCTGCTTGCCCACCCCCATCACAACTTAATTGTTTCGTGTTGGATCCCCTTAGGGCTTCATTAGTGACTTTTACCGGAGTATCATATTCTACAATAATGGGGGATTATGGCTCAATGTCCAGCTTCTTCCTCAGAGGGAGACAAAGAGGTGAAAAGGAAAGCATGAGAGATAGTTTATTTCAAAGGAATATATCTGGCATGGTAGGCTATGGGACAGGTGGAGAGTGATTTACGGGCTTGTGCCACCTGACAGTGCACCCTGCAAATCACAGTTCCTGGGGGATAATAACTTCCCCATTCATGCCGCGGCCCTGCTCTCTTCTTTTAGTCTCATGAGTTAAGTTCTGTGTTGTTCTCAGGTGCAGTGCAAACCAGAGGACAACAGGTCTTGTGTCCTTTCCCCCATTTTCCTTTTTAAATTTCTTCATCTGTTTGTGGCCCAGTGTTTCTTAGTAGCAGAGAATGGTTTTTCGGGCTCTGTTCGTTTTCAGGTGAGATACAGTAGTGAGTTTTTCCCCTACTGTGAACGACAGGTGTATGGAAATCGTAGTTGGAGAGAACCGGAGGCAGCGATCAGAGGCTCATATACCCTGCAGGAAGCAGGAGCAGCGAGCCCTTGGACCGACTCATGTCTTCGGGATCTAAAGCCATTTCAAAAATCAGTCTGTACGAGAATAGTCATCAGCTTTCATTTAGAATTCTAAAATGAGCTGGGAACTATTACCTGGAGGGAAGAAGTTTGTAAATGTTTTCCATTAGTTTCTTCTGATTATATGTTAGAATTCAAATGTATTTGTTTAAGGCCTAAATCCTATGGAAAGTGTTCACTTGCAAGAGACTCTTATGTGCAAAATGGCTCTTATGTGCTATTATTTATTCAGACCAACAACTTGAGACAAGCGTGCCCTTGGTTTCAGGTTCTTCCCTAACAGCAGTGACTTATTATTTTTTATTTCTAATAGTCAATATCTTCGATTTCCTCAATTTCCTTTTTCTCTTTTCTTCCTGATTGGAGAAGTGAAAATATTAAGAATGATAGGCAATAATGGAGAGTAGGGGGCTTTAGGCTTTGTTCCTGACAAAGAAATTTAGCGAAGAGATTTAGCTGGGAAGATTCATGAGGAATAAACACCTTTGTGGACTGAGGCTTTTTCCGTGAGCATATTCTGACATAGAGCATCTCCTGCAGACAGAAAACTTATTATTTTCTCTAGTCTGCATTTTGAAGAACTGCGTGAACTGTTAGCAACTATTTGCTAAAAGCCTAGAGGTAGAGACTCGAAAGTGAAGATTAGGAGGTGAACAATTTGGTTCCAATTTGTTTACATGGATTACTTGGCTAAGTTGGGTTTTCTTTTTTTTTTTTCCTTCCTTCATGCTACTTTATCCTGTCCTTGCTTTCCAATAAGGTAACAGATGAAAAGTGCATTGGCTCTAACTAAAATTCCAGTCTCTGAAAGAGATCTTAGAATAAGAAGGATCTGGCATTTGCTGAGTGAACAAAGAGGACAAAAATTCTATTCGTCAAGAAATTTTGTTTTAAATGAGTTTGTATTTGCTGCCATCAAATATAAAGATGAAATTTGAATAAGTGTGGCCATCAGAGCAGCTATTACAGGTGGTGAGCTATTAAAATTTATTGTGGGAACTCCCAGGAATATATGTATAGAATATCCTTCATTTGATCGCAACCTAACTTGGTTAACTAATTTTTTTCTATGGAATTTATAAACCAAAGATGA